CTGTGAGTGGGGCCGGCGGTACAGTGTTAACTGCAGGCAGGACCGTGCTGGGTACGGCGGGCGGGCTGGGTGGGAGCCGAGCCGGGAGAGGCCGAGCAGCTGGTGGGGAGTTTCTCAGGAAGGAAAAGCAGACTCAGCCCGCTCGGTCCCCGTCGTGTGTTCCAGGAATCGCCTCAGTGCCACGAAGCCTCCGTCATCTTCAACCTTCTGCGTCTGCTTACGTGGGATCTCAAACTGGTGGCCCATTCTGGACCTTGTGTCTTATCTGCGGCACCTCGGCCTGGGATGGAAAGCTCTCTATGCCATTGGCTGCCAGGCGCGGACTCACCCCATTGTCAGCCAATGGGCGCTGGAGGCAAGAGACACTCTCCGTTACCATTGGCCGACCTTCGAGCCCTGGTGTTAGGTGCAACAGGCGCCTCAGAGAGGCGTGTGCTCTCCCCCAGTTTAAGATTGCGATGGCCCTGAAGCCGTGATGTATCCATGGATGCCTTTCCGTACTCTCCCAGGGACCAGGGCCTGGTGGAGACACTGGAGTCTTGGGCCCCGTTTAGGGGCTGACCCTGCATGTGAGCGTGGACCAGTCTGTGCTTCGGTGGTTACCGGGTCCCCGGACCATGAGAGATCCCCATCCCAGATTTCAACCCTCCATGCCTCAGTGAGATTCTGTGAATCTGTGACTCTTAGATCCCTCCGGCTGCGGAGGCCTCATTCCTTAAGGGATTTGAAAGTAAATGGATCGAAATTTCTAAGTTATTATTTGGATTCTGTTACTTACATGTTTGTATTTGTAAATTTCTTTTGCCTTGGTGCTATTATGTCTTTTGGTGTTAAATATTCGCCCTGGTTGTTTTCCATAGCATGATTAAGGTGCATTGTCCATCAAAACGAGCTGAGGTAGGGAGTCACTTAACCTGAGCTTCCATTCTGACCCTGCCACTTAGTCATAGTGCAACTCTGTGCAACTTACTTGTCTCTGAGCCCCTTTCCTTAGTTGACCCATGGCATTTTTGTATACTTCCCCTGAAAATGAGGAATGTAACTGAAATTGTATTAATAAAGCTTGCAGCTCAGAGCATAGTATGGCCTTAATGAATGGTCTTTATTTGATAATCACATACCACATACATACATAAAGGCAGCAACAATTGTATATTACTTTTTCTTGTCCTAATCTGTGGGCTAGCAAATGATTGCAGACTTTTTTTGTGCTGACTGCATGTCTCTTTCCCAAGATCGCACAGCTAGTGAGGTAGAGGTCGACTTTGAATGCAGACGCTTTGATCCTAGGCCGCATGCTGTTAACTGCTCAGCAGACTTGCCATTCCAAGATAAAAGAGCTCTGAGGTTTAGGAATTTTGAGGTAGTATGTTGCTTTTCAAAATTCAATGTTGGTGCACAGTCTCCTGCAGGAGCTCTAGTGGTGCAGTGGTTAAAGTGTTTGGATGCTAGCTGAAAGGGGGATGATTTGAAGCCTCCAGCTGCTCCATGGGAGAAAGATGTGGCAATTTGCTTGTAAAGATTTACAGTCTTAGAAGCCCTATGGGGATAGTTCTATTCTGTCTGACAGGATTGCTCTAAGTCACAGTCCACTCAATGGCAACAGGCTTGGTAAGTCTCCTACTCACCTGAGGTAAAGCCCCTGCAAGGGGCAGAAACTGATGACTACATTGGTAGGTGATTTGACATATCTCTGCTCTTGGTTTTGAAACATTATTATGCATCAGAGCTCCTGAATGGCCTCTTTCTGTAATTATGAGTTAGGAAAGGAGAGGGTTGGGGTAGGAGTCAGCTGCCAAAAAGGTCTCAGCATATTCTTGTCTCCAAGAAATTCATCACCTCTGGGTCCAGGAGATCGAGCTGCACTGCATGGGAGCCTGGAGAGGGGTGTCAGACAAAATTTCATGAAAATCCTTACCACTAATTTGCTGTGTGACCTTAGGCAGGGCTCTTAACCTCTCTGAGCCCTTAACAGTTTTGTACTTAAACTTAAAATGTAGGCAAACCACAATATACTCTCTGTGTTATTGTGGATATTAAGCAATTGTTGTTGTTGTACTTAAAATGTAGGCAAACCACAATATACTCTCTGTGTTATTGTGGATATTAAACAATACATTGTGGCAAAATCTCCATGACAGGACAAGCACATAAGTGTTCAGCCAACAGTTTTGCACTGGCTATTCCCTTTGCCAAGGAGCTGTGATGGTGCAGTGCGTAAGGCATTTGACCACTAACTAGAAGGTTGGCGGTTCAAACCCACCAGCCTCTACATGGAAGGAAGACGGGACAATCTACTTCCTTAAAGGTTTACCCCCTTGGAAACCCAGTGAGGGTTGCTATGAGTCGGTTTGGTTTTGGGTTTATATTTCCTTTGCCTAGAAAGTTATTCCCTCTGATCTTCACAGGGTTCCCTCCCTCACTTCCTTGCCATCTTTCCTCAAATGTCATTTTCTCGGCCTAGTTGGCTCTCTCTCCATTCTCAGCAACCCTCTCCCGGCCCCTTCTCTGCAGGAAAGAGCCCTCCTCTCAGAGCTCCAGTAATGCCTCCTGGAGCTGCCCTTTACCATGGCTCCCTGCACTGGAGGAGCTTGTGGAAGGCTGGATTCCTTGCCTGTCCAGTTCAGGATCCAGCTGTGTGGGGCTCTGCGGGCCTGGCTCCCGCGGCCCCAGCCCTGAGGGTTACTATGCTCATCGGAGTCCGTGAGAGAGTCTCCTTTCCTCCAGTCACCTGCCTCACCTGGCCGCACCCTGCTCTGGGCGTCCCCAGCCTGGGGCTTCCCCTGGTGGCGGGTGTCACCTGCAGGCTGTTTTCACTTTTCCAACATCAGCTGGGATTGCCCGTCTGGTCAGGCTGCACGTGGAGCTTAGCCAGAGGTGTATCCCAGACAGAGCTGGAAACTCAGAGACACGGCCTGGGACAACGTGGGGTGAGACCCAGAAGGGGAGACTGAGGCCGGAGACCTTGAACAAGACCGAGTGAGACAGACCCCAGGAAACAGAGCACAGAGCAGCGCGCGGATCTGCCTCCTGCTGACAGAGGAGACCAGGAATGAAGCTGGGTGAGCCCCTCCTCTGTCACTGCTCCTGACTCTCAACCCCCAGCCCCTCATCTCTCCACCCCTTCACCAAACAGACAGGGCCCTGGGCTACCTACTGGTGTTGACGACTGAGCTGACCAGGACGGGACCAGTTCCCACCCCCACACCCAGAGGAGCCCTCCCGGGATGCAGAGGGCTGCCACATCGCCCAGTTCAAGTCTCTGTCCTCACTTGAGCGGCAGGCCTCCAAGAGGGCCAAGGACGCCTTTGTGAGTCTCCCACTGTCCCACTTGCTGTGGGCTAGTGTCCACCCCTCCCTCTGTGGGTTAACCCTCTGCACACTGCTGCTTCCTTCACTGGGCTGACCTCCATCCTCCCTTCACTGGGCTGACCTCTGCCCTCCCTTCACTGGGCTGACCTCTGCCCTCCCTTCACTGGGTACCGGGCTAACCTGTGTCTTCCTGCACTGGAAGGGTCTCTACCTTCCTTTGGTGAGTTAACCTCTCCTCCCCTTATTGCCATCCTCCAATCCCACCAGAGGGGTCTAACCTTCACCCCTACCACTGGGGGCTAACCTCTGCCCTTGCTTTCTAGGAAGAGGTGCTTTTGCCAACAAACTGGAGCTGCCGCTCTAGTCTCTTCCCAGGACCTGGGACCTGAGGCAACTGCAGAGGAGCTGGGAGACCCAGGCCCCCTGCCCTCACCTGGCCCTGCTCCTCCTACACGTTAAGCGGCTCCTTCCCGTCTCCTTTTCACTCATTGCACTCTTCTTCCCCGGTCTCAGGCCTCCTTTACCTACTCCCCTCACCTGAGCACACCATCTGTGTCCACTCACCTGTCCCCCTCACCTGTCTCCCTCACCTCTTACTTTCTCTATCCCCACTCACTGCTCCCCTCACCTGCTCTCTCTCAGGTGCAATGCTCACCTGTCTTCTGTCTTCTCTCTTCAGGTATGGGAGTACCGTGTGGCCTTGGAGGCTGAGCTGGCCCTGACGCTGAATGTCCTAGTTTATCTTCTGCTGTTTGTGTACCTTGGGTTATGCTTGATAGTCTATTTATGCCATAAATTAGGGCCCCTAACTTTGCCTCTATTTTTGCATTGAATGTATAGATTGCTTTGGGTAGTATTGACATTTTCACAATGTTTAACCTTCCTATCCATGAGGATAGTATGTAGTATGTAGATTTCTTATAGTTTCTTGAGGTAGTGTTTTGTAGTTTTCTTTGTTTTGGTCTTTTGTGTTCCTAGTAAGATTTATTACTAAGTATCTTATCTTTTTGGTAGCTACTGTAAATGGTATTGATTTCCTTATTTCTTTTTCAGTAATCTCTTTGCTGGTGTAGAGGAGTTCACCTGATTTTTGTATGCTGATTCTGTATCCCACCACTATGCTAAATCTCTCAATTAGTTCCAGTAGTTTTCTTTTGCTTAGTCTCTTGGGTTTTCTATGTATAGGATCATATCATCAGCAGAGGGATAGTTTTACTTCTTTACCAAATTGGATGCCTTTGATTTCCCTTTCTTGACTTATTGCCCTGGCTAGGACTTCCAATACAATGTTGAATAGAAGTGGAAACAGAAGGTATCCTTGTCTGATTCGTGTTCATAATGGAATGGTTTCAGTTTCTCTCCATTGAGAATAATGTTGGCTGTTGGTTTTGCATATATGTCCTTCATGTTGAGGAATATCCCTTCTATTCCTATTTTGCTGAGAGTTTTTATCAGGAATGGGTACTGGATTTTATCAAATGCCTGTCTGCATTGATTGATATGACTATGTGGTTCTTTTCCTTTATTTTACTTACATGATGGGTTATGTTGATTGTTTTTCTAATGTTGAACCATCCTTGTATACCTGGTATGAATCCCATTTGGTCATGATGTTTTATTTTTTTGATATGTTATTGGAATCTATTGACTAGGATTTTATTGAAGATTTTTGCATCTATATTAATGAGGGATATTGGTCTGTAGTTTTCCTTTCTAGTGGTGTCTTTGCCTGGTTATAGTATCAGAGTTATGTATGCTTGCTTCATAAAATGTATTTAGGAGGATTCCACCATTTTCTGTGTTCTGGAATAGTTTGAGTAAGATTGATGTCAACTCTTCTTAGAATTATTGGTAGAATTCTCCAATCATCTGGGTCAGGAATTTTTTTTTATTGGTAATTTTTTTTATGACATGTTCAATTTCTTCTTTTGTTATGAGTCTGTTCAGATTTTCTACCTCAGTCTGTGTTAGTTTAGGTAAGTAGTGTGTTTCTAGAAATCTGTCCATTTCTTCTAGGTTTTCATATTTGTTGGAGTATAATTCTTCATCCAAACCAAAAAACAAACTCACTGCCATCGAGTCAAATCCGACCCATAGTGATCCCTCCTCAGGTTTCTGAGGCAGTATCACTATGGAAGTAGATTGCCCAACCTTCCTTCCAAGGAGTGGCTGGTGGTTTTGAACCACTAGCCTTCTGGTTAGCAGTCAAGTGCCTTCGGCACTATACCACCAGATGTCCTATAGTTCTTCATAGTATCCTGATATTATTCTTTTTATTTCTGTTGGCTCTGTTGTGATCTGTTGTGATATCACCCATTTCAGTTCTTATTCATGTTGTTTGCATCCTTTCCTTCTTTGAAAACATTAATAAACTTAAGTTTGCCAGTGGTTTGTCAATTTTATTAATGTCTTCAAAGAACTAACTTCTAGTCTTGTTGAACTTTTCTGTTGTCTATTTTCTTTTTCATTTGTTTTGGCTCAAATCTTTATTATTTCTTTTCATCTGGTGACTATAGGGTTTTTTTTTGTTTTTTTTTTTTTGCTGCTCTTTTTTCTAATTGTTGGAGATGTTGGGTTAGGTGTTGATTATGCCTCTTTCTTCTTTTTTTGACATGTGCATCTATTGCTATAAATTGCCCTCTGATCACTGCTTTTGTTGTGTCCCAAAGATTTTGGTATGTTGTGTTTTCATTCTCATGTGACTCAAGGAATTTTTTATTTCACTTATTATTTCTTCTATTACCCAATTGTTTTTGAGGAGGTATTGTTCAGTTTCCATGTGATTGTTCTTTGTCTGTTGGTCTCCCTAGTGTTGGTTTCCAATTTTATGGTATTGTGGTCTGAGATGATGGTTTGCAGTATTTCAATGTTTTTAAATTTATTGAGGCTTAGTTTGTGCCCTAACATATGGTCTATCCTGGAGAATGTTCCATGTGTGCTGGAAAAGAATGTATATTTTGCTGTTGTTGGGTGAAGTGCTCTGTAGATATCTTTAAGGTCAGGTTGGTTGATTGTATTGTTTAGTTCTTCTGCATCTTTGTTGAGTTTCTTTCCAGTTGTTCTATCTCTTATTGAGTGGTATATTAAAGTCTCCTAGTATTACTGTAAAAACTCACTGCATCATCTACTTGTCTTTTCAATTCTGTTAAGTCTGCCTTACATATTTTGGGGCTTTTCCATTGGGTGCATAGATATTTATTATAATTATGTCTTCTTGTTCAATTTATTGTGTAATCATTACATAATGTCCTTCCTTGCCTCTTATGGTTATTTTTGTCTTAAAGTCTATTTTGTCAGAAGTTAATCTTGCTACTTTTGCTCTATTTTGGTTGCCATTTGCTTGGCATATCTTTTTCTAATCTTTGATTTTTAGTCTAATTTTGTCTCTGTGTCTAAGGTGAGTTTCTTGTTGACAGCATATTATGGGTCATGTTTTCTTATCTGGTCTGCAACTCTCCATCTCTTGGGTGGTGCATTTAATCCATCGACATTTGGTGTAATTATCAACAAGTATGAATTTATTAATGTCATTTTGCTATGTGTTTTTTCATGGTGTTGCTGATTTCTTTGTTCCATGCAATTTTCTGTGCTGAGCTCATTTTGTTTATGAATTTTGTTATCATCTCCTTTGTTGCTATTATTTCAGTATTTGCTAAATATTTGTGCTTGTCCTCTTTTTTAATTTGATGCAAAGGTCTATTATTTTTCTTTGAGGTTACCCTGTGATTTATTATTCTCTTCCCAAGTTTAAAACAGTCTCTTCTATCTTGCAATTGTCTTGATTTCCATTTAGAAGTTCTATAACTACACTATTTATTCCCACTACTTGATTTGTAGTAGTCCTCATTTACCAATTGATGTCTCTGGTTCCCTGTTTACATTCTTGTAAGCTTATTTTACTTTGGGTACTTGTGTAACTGAGTTGGTTTCTGAGTTATGTCATCATGTGTGTTAATCATCAGTTGTTTGCTAGTGTTGGTTCTCTATCAGAAGGACTCCCTTTAACATGTCTTCTTAGGTTGGACTGGTTTAAACAAATTCCCTTAATTTCTTCTTGTCTGGAAATCTCCTAATTTCACCATCATATTTGGAGGATAGTTTTGCTGGGTATATAATTCTTGGCTGGAGATTTTTTTCTTTCAGGGTTTTATATGTATCATCCCATTGCCTTCTCACCTTCATGGTTTCTGCCAAGAAATCAGAGCTTAGTCTTCTTGGTTGCCCTTTATAGGTAACTTTTCCTTTTTCCTGTGCTGCTTTCAGGATTCTTTCTTTGTCTTTGATTTTGGTGAGCCTGATTATGACATGTCTGGGAGATTTTCTTTTCAGATCTATCCTGTTTGGGGTTTGTTGAACTTCTCAAATGGATGTATTCTTATCTTTCATCATATTAGGGAAATTCTCTTGCAACAAACATTCGACAGTCTTCTCTGTGGTTTTACAGTTTTTTCCGAAATTAAGCTGCTAGAGGGAGCAAACCTGTGGGCTACAGGTACGACACCATCTTCCTCCCCTATTTTCTGTTTTTTTTTTTTTTTTTTTTTTTTAATCTCAGCCATCCTAGTGAAAGTGAAATGTTATCTCCTTGTAGTTTGGATTTGCATCTCTCTGATGGCTAATGGTGGTGAGCATCTTTTCATGTGCTTGGTGGCTATTTGAATGTTCTGTTTGGTGAATGTTCAGGTCCTTTGCCCATTTTATTATTGGTTGTCTTTAAGTTGTAAAATTATTATTAGATATACTTTGGTTATTAGATTCTTGTTTAAAATGTGATTTCCGACGATATTCTCCCAGTCTGTAGCTTGTCTTTTCACTTTTTTTATTTAGTGTTTTGATGAACAAAATTTTTTAATTTTCATGAGGTCTCATTTATTTATTTGGTCTTTTGCTGTTTGTGCTTTTGTAATTACATTAGATAAGTCATTGTTAAAAGCAAAGCCCAACAGTCTTGCCCTTGCGTTTTCTTCTAAGGATTTTGTGGTTTAGGTCTCTCATCCATTTTGAATTTGTTTTTGTGTATGGATGATTCATGGATTCTATTCCATTTTTCTGCATGTGGAAATCCAGTTTTTCCAGGACAATTATTGAGATTTCTTTTCCCCACTGAACAGTCTTAGTGTCCCTGTCAAAAATCAATCAGCCGTAGATGTGTGAGTCTATTTTTGGACTCTCTGTTGTGTTCCACTGGTGTATGTATCTGTCCTTATATCAGCACCAGGTTATTTTGCTTACTTTAGCTTTATCATATGTTTTAAAGTCAGGACATGTGAGTCCTCCTACTTTGTTCTTCTCTTTCAACAGCTCTTTTGCTTTCATAGCCTCTTGCTATTCCATACAAAGTTGAGGAATATTTCTTCCATTTCTGTGAAGAAGGCTTTTGGAATTTGATCAGGACTGCATTGAATCTTTTGATCACTTTGGTAGTATTGACATCTTAACAATATTAAGTCTACCATTCCACAAGCATGACACATCTTTCCATTTATTGAGTCTTCTTTGATCTCTCTCAGTAGTGCTTTATAGTTTTCATTGTCTAAGTCTTTCATATCCATGGTTAACAATCTACTTCCAT